CCTGTGGGTACACACCCTCTCTGTTATCGGTGTTTAGGGCGTATATATTTGCCTATTTTTCGTTATTTTTTATTGATTTGTTTGACCACCTTTTACTTTCAGTTTCACACTACTATGTGTTTCGTACAATAGTCTCGGGCCCTCAACTAAGACCAGCTAAGCTAAGCTCAAATAATATCACAATTGTTAGTATTTTTTTATGTTTATTGATTAATTGACAAACTGACATGCGCACAGGATTGTGATCTCGGAATGATAGTTTAAAATTTCAACGGTCATGGCGACGAACGCTCCTAGATTGAATGTTTGCTAAGTTAGGAGGCCCTAAGAGTGATTTCGTCCGCTGTTGTTTACTTTGGGACGACGAACGCAAGATAATTGGATGAGGTGTGGATGTTGGCGTTTTGCTGGTACAAAGTCTGCTCGGAACAAGCCCATCCTCTGCCATACCAATGCACAAAGTTCGTTGCCGAGGTTTTGTGAACAGTTTAAAATGAGCATGTAGCGGTCAGGCCATCATTGTACTAGAACTGACATCACCCTTACAGGACGTACTCTTACTACGTATTCGTACTATTGTAGTTTGTTTCATCGAACTCGACGTTGTGAACACAGAAGCAAATTATGGCGAGTGAATCGTCAAAAAATTGGCGTGCTACGTCCACTAAAGGTCAGTGAATCAATAGATGTCCTCTGGCCATATATTGTAAGGTGTTTTATCCGATCAATGTCTTAATATTGTTGACCTCGTTAGCGTCATTTGTGTACGAGTGTATAATTTCGTGTATGGTAGAGAAGCGCTCGGAGCAACAGACATGCTTATACATAGGGTCAAGCAGGTCAAGTTAGTTCAGTATGCGTCTTTCTAACGTGTCAATGTATAACTCACAGCATGGTGAGCATGGTCCGGTAGAGACACGTTAAAACTGTACATTTGTAATGCATTGTTATGTATAGAATTCAATCACAACAATTGCCTTTGACGGGTTCGCTGAACTATAGGATGAAATGCAAGGTCAGATTTTAAATTAGAAATACACGTTGTGGTTATTTTTGTTTTTTACATTCGTGTGTTCATTTGTATGGGTTATTATTAGACACGCCCCTTTTGATAAATGAATGACTTGAGTATAAACCTTGCTTGGAGGCACTAATGCGTGGATAAGGCATGTAACACTAGTGTAGTTTCAGAATTACAGAATATGTGCTATTCATATGAATATTGATATTTCTAATCATATTTACACGGTCAACATGTCACACACTTTATAATTTTAGTGAAATATTGACAAAACCGTAAAAATGACAGCCTATACAAATTCAATGATTCCGCATGACACCTGTTAAAATGTATTTAATGCCTCGTACAGTGAGTTTCAAGAAAGCATGAATGTTTTTTTTTATAAAAAAAGATATAAAATAACTTGACCAATCACAACAGGTTGTCATAGTGGTAAAACTGACAGAGACTCATGGGTAATCTATGTTACCAACCCAATAAGCAATTTCTTTTGATTATAATGAAATGTGAGGTTCTTTCAGGGTAAATATTTTATAACATTTCCATAAAAATATTCATGCCTTCATGAACTTCACTATATATTCTGAAGTGCACAAATTCAAAAATTACGACAGGAACTAGCTCAGTGACTTTGGCTATCCTAATACCAATGATGTGTGAGTGCTTTCTGAAGGAAGGTTTTGACTGCTTCACTAAACCAGTCGTCTCATTAGGATTACATTTACATATACATTGGTTAACTAACTTCAGTAACATCTGCAGTGCTTTACCTTCATTTCAGATTACCTCCCATAGAAGTTTTTGGTTAATTTAAAAATATTTGAAAACCATTTTGAAACACAAAATAACAGTTGAAAACTATACAACCAATCACAGTTTTAATTGTTAGTGAATTTTCTGAGTTGTTATATTTGAGTAAAACTAATCTTCAAAACGTTCTTAGTCTTTGTTTAGCTTTCAGTAAGTTTTTGTGTAGACTGGAAAATTTAAATTAGCTTACCACTTGATGACTTAATTGGCTTGAAAGTAAGTGAATGAATGCAGTAGTTTGATTAATGCGTTACCATTTTGAATGATAGTATGGTAGATATTGAAAGGTATGATAAAATCATTCAAATGAACCATGTTGTTTATATCATAGTACCAATAGCATTCAAAATACAAATTTGTCAACCACAACTTGATGTATTACTTTTAATTGTTCAGAATTACAAATATGATAAAGTGGAGTTAAATGGTGAGAAATTAACTACTGCAATATAAATTGTTATCTGATTGGGTCTACAAAACCGTATCACTAGTAATGATTCATTAGATAAAATCTTGTATAAAGTTGACAGTCGCTGTTCTTTTGCTTTTAGATAGGCAGATATATTGATTTTACCATAATACAATGCGCTCTAATTTTTTTGTAAATATATTCATAAAACAAAAGGTTGTATTTTGCTGTTTGAATGTACTGCCTTCTAAGTCAATTCCTGATTGGATGACACTGAGATAATGCATTTCAATGTACGAATGCATTCACTGCCACTCGTAAAATGTAGAAAAATGAGAATCATGAAACTGTATTGGGCAACCTTAGATTGTAAATCAAATTATCATGTTCTGTGTTTAAACACTAGTGTAAAAGGTGATGGAGATATATTTTAACCCAAGTCATATTACACTGGTGATTTGTGCTGAGGAAGAGCATCCTGTGATGACACAAAAGACTTCTGAGTATAAAATATCAGACTACAACTTACTTGTGCATCTGAATTATAACTGTTGTTGAATTGAATTACTTTTGCAATAGACTCAGATATAGCTAATCAGGTCAAATCATCTATGCCTGTTTGGTTTGAACTCAGAAGTCACTGACATACATGTGTCCCACTGAGCTATCTGGAACATGGTGTCCGTCATTGGTTTTTGACCTATATATTGTTTTGAGTTACATCATATATTTCTTGCTAAACTTTGTATCCCAGATGAGTCCTCAAACATTTGTATGATGGCTTCATCATGTCATTAACTGTTACATCATGTCATTAACTGTTACATCATGTCATTAACTGTTACATCATGTCATTAACTGTTACATCATGTCATTAACTGTTACATCATGTCATTAACTGTTGTTTAGGCATGTCATTAACTGTTGTTTAGGCATGTCATTAACTGTTGTTTAGGCATGTCATTAACTGTTGTTTAGGCATGTCATTAACTGTTGTTTAGGCATGTCATTAACTGTTGTTTAGGCATGTCATTAACTGTTGTTTAGGCATGTCATTAACTGTTGTTTAGGCATGTCATTAACTGTTACATCATGTCATTAACTGTTACATCATGTCATTAACTGTTACATCATGTCATTAACTGTTACATCATGTCATTAACTGTTACATCATGTCATTAACTGTTGTTTAGGCATGTCATTAACTGTTGTTTAGGCATGTCATTAACTGTTGTTTAGGCATGTCATTAACTGTTGTTTAGGCATGTCATTAACTGTTGTTTAGGCATGTCATTAACTGTTGTTTAGGCATGTCATTAACTGTTGTTTAGGCATGTCATTAACTGTTACATCATGTCATTAACTGTTGTTAGGCATGTCTGGGTCTATGCACAAATCTCACACATGATTGGTTGATGATGCATGTCAGTTAGTTTCAAAATGGCATACTGGCGGCCAATGATTCTGTTTAAATTTAGTAAAAAGGCAAGATATGTTGTTACATGTTCTCTTCATGCAGTTATTTTGTAATTTTTATGAAATTTAACTGACATTTGTGACAAAAATTAAAATGAAAACATAAAACAAAAGCATGTCATCTTTTATTTGGACATTGCATCTAAAAATGGTTGTATGTG